GTCACGTTATGGTCCTCTTCAATTTGGTGAAAGTCTAGCTTTCTCTGCTCGTAGTTGATCAGTTTGAATTTGTTTGAATCGCAGTGTGGGCTAAGATTCCCGTGGCAAATATTTGTTGCGTCGTTCTCGTGGTTCAGCGTCGACGGGTTAGATAGCAAAGTCCCATTTGCTCGGCGTCTTTTCGCCCCCACTGATAGATTTAACGCGGAAGATCCGCTACGCGAAACACGAGATGATTCCCCCTGAAGATCGCGAAGCTTACGTTTCTTGGAAACACCTTCATCCATGTCGGTCAAAGACAGTGTCGCGCAACCCAAGTTTAACACGCGTCCCACTTCGAGGCACTGCTTCCCAAATCACGCACAGGCTTCAACTGTAACAGCATCTATTACCCCTACTTTACACAAACCCCGCACCACGACCTCATCGCATGCCATCCTTGGCTTCCGTGATGGGACTGGCAACCCTAGCGGAAATGGTTCTAACTAATCCAATAATAAGATAAATTGCATTTTCTCAGCTACATTTGAAGTGAAATATGCTTCTACCTCATAATTATTTCTATTCTTTTGAAAGATGATTTTTACTCTAGTAAGGAAAAGCCATTAACGTCGAATTGGAAGGAAACGTGTGAATGCTGTCAGAAAAACGTAAACAAATGTGTTGGAAAATACAATTTTGCTCGTTTAGGAGCTCTTAGGCAGGGTGGTTGGGACTCCTACAGGAAATGGGATTTGGCTGTTGTAATAGTGGTATACATGTTTGATTATTTGCCAGTGACTTGCGACATTCTGTAATTTTAACATCGTCTGTGAATTTTACTGGTGATCACTTAAGGATTCCTTTGAAAAGGTACCTAATATATTTTTGCTGTGAATAGAATTGTCCTAGGCAGAGGCTGTTTGGAACACTTTAATCGCTTTGGATAGCGTGCAAAATTTACTGGAAACCAGGAATATTTTTTAAAAAATGTTGGCTGGGCGAGATTACTGTTCTGTTGCACGGTATTTCATGTAGGAGTATGGTTAATCATTTGTTGACTTGTGTGTTGCAGGAAGTGTTGTAAGTTCGTTCATATGGGAAGCTTGTACACCATTTTAAGTGACCATGTTGTTGAAAGGAATTCCCTGTTTGCTGCACCAACCAATAGTTATTGTTAACCTTTTGCTTGCTGTTGTAGTTGCTGCGTGTTGTTAGCCTTTTGATGTGTTTTGTTGCTGACACTACTTTCTGAACTGTATGAAGCATGCATTATTTCCATGCAAAATGTGGTATCATGTCAACACACACTCTTAGAAATCTCTTAGATTCAGCTCATGAATATAAATGTCTCTGCAGGTATGATATAATTTGTAGTGGTGTTTGAGCATGAAAAATTAGTGTTCATATTTTAATGGTCATTTTCTGAAAGTTGTGTGGAGATGTTATCATCTCATATTTCAGACTAGTTGACACTCAAATCCTGTTACCATTTATTTCCAGGAAGCATGGAAGACAATAACCACCCTGAGGAAGTAATGTTTGGGGACATCACAGAGGCACAGCATGAGATGCTTCTTCAGTTTCAGGTACATGATGCTATGAAGACATAATAGAGCATAGGTGCAACAAACAGCCACAGTGCAAATCTTGGCTATGCTTTTTCTGCTCAATTTTACAGCCATAGTTGTTGAGTATGAGTTCAAAACCAAAATTGCTATCATAGGTATATGCATATCTAAAAAAGTAGGCAGCCAATGTCAATGCGCAAATTACCAACACCACCTTTTCTAGCTTGCAATCCTGCTATAAATACTGTGTTACCTAAGTTGGATTGAAAAACTTGTGGGGAACCTTATCAAAAGCCTCTCTCAATTTAAGATGTTCTGTATGAGGCTGGTTTCTTTGAGCATCATGCCCTGTTTTCTGATTTATCTTTGACACATTTTGTGAATAAGTCATTTTTATGTTTTCTTCAGTCATTATGAATCATGGCTGAAGAAAGTGTCTTTGACAATATGATATGCAAAGTGGCTACAACAGCTCAGCTCTCTTTCAGCTGCACCTAATGTCTTTGAATAGATTTTATGATGCCCCTCTAATAATATTGTCTGTATCTGCCTGAGTTATGAAAAACAAAACTGCCTGTGATAATGGCAGTCCA